AACAACAACATCAATAATAATAATAACATTAATACTAATAAATAGTTGGAAGATATCCCTTAGGCCATTTAGGCCATTTGCTTTCATGCATCAAATCCACAATCAAAGCGCCCCTGACAGATGGCTACCCAGCCTCAACAACAACAACAACATTAATACTAATAAAGAGTTGGAAGAGACCCCAAGGGCCATGTAGTCCAACCCCCTTCTGCCTTAATGCAGCAGAAGCACAATCAAAACACCCCTGACAGACAGACAGTTTTTACGGTATTTTTTTTTTAGTGAAAGACATAGATTGCTTTAGTTGTTGTCTTTTGTTCAAATTTGGTGTCAATTCGTCCAGTGGTTTCTGAGTTCTGTTAATCTCACAAACGAACATTGCATTTTTATTTATATAGACATGCATTATTTTGATTAATGCATGAGGCAAGTTATACAAAACCTTAAACCAGGGGTCCACAAACTTTTTAAACAGAGGGCCAGGTCACAGTCCCTCAAACTGTTGGAGGGCCGGATTATAATTTGAAAAAAACATGAATGAATTCCTATGCACACTGCACATATCTCATTTGTAGTGCAAGGAGCACTTAAAAACAATACAATAATTAAAATGAGGAGCAATCCTAACAAATATAAACTTATTAGTATTTCAATGGAAAGTGTGGGCCTGCTTTTGGCTGATAAGATAGGATTGTTGTTGTTGTTGTGTGCTTTCAAGTCGTTACAGACTTAGGTTGATCCTAAGCGAGGGCCGGGTAAATAACCTTGGAGGGCCGCATTCGGCCCCCGGGCCTTAGTTTGAGGACCCCTGCCTTAAACCATACCAGTGTTTTTATCATCCACTTTGAAATAATATACATTTGCAGTTATCATTTTTTGTTTTCTCGAGTGTTTAGCTGTAACTCTGCTTTCTTCAGTCTTTGCTATTTTCTGCTTGCTATTCTGAACCTCTTAAACAACATTATTTTAGGTTCTTGTGGGTTTTTTCGGGCTATAGAGCCATGTTCTAGAGGCATTTCTCCTGACGTTTCGNTATCCTCCTCTCTCGGCCCCTGCGCAACCACGGGGGCAGTCGTGCGAGGAGGCAGAATAGCTGCACATGGGGAAAGAGAGGGAAAGGCGTGCACCTCTTCCCCTTCTCTCTCACCCCGTGCATGCTTTCCTTGGCAGCAATGGTAAAGGCGCTCACGGGGCGAAGAGGAGGGAAAGGTGCGCACCTTTCCCTCCCTCACACACCTTTCCTGCCTGCAGCACTGAGGAAGGCATCTGTGGGGCGAGGGAAGTGGAGGGAAAGGTGCACACCTGCGGAGGCCTGCACAGGCTAAAGTCTGCTTGCTGCTTACCCCAGTGCAGGTCTCCGCAGGTGTGCACATTTCCCTCCACTTCCCTCACCCCGCAGATGCCTTCCTCGGCGCTGGAGGCAGCAGCAGGAGCAGCGCGGCGCAGGCCAGACGCTCCCTTGGCCCCAATTTGGCCCAGGAAGGAGGGACGCAGAGTGAGAAAGGCTGCCCTCCAGCCTCCTTCCTCACGCTGCCTCTTTCCTCACTGAGCCCAGCTGGGGCCTGACGGAGCGTCAGGCCTGTGCCACGCTGCTCCTGGAGGCTGAAGACAGAGGCTGGAAGACAGAGGCACTCACCAGCGCTGGCCTGCGTAGCCCTGGAAGTCAGGCAAGCAGGCCGCTGCGAGCGGAGGTTCTCATCCGCTGCCTCGGCTGCTTCGGCTCCAGTGTCGCTACCATTTGTCATCTGCTATATCTGGGAGATTAGACGACCCCCAACTTTTCAAAGGATTTTAAAGGCTTAGAAAGTCGTCTAATAGCCCAGTTTTTATGGTAGTTTTCTGCAATAATTTTGTGTAAGATTTTTCCCATAGAAAACAGCAAATTTGCACAAGACATGCAAAAACCAGTGGGCTTTTGTGTGCAAGTTCGAAAACATACAAACCACATAGACATATATTTATATGTCAAATATTCTACTCAAACTGTATATGATACACAAAACCCTTCTTTTCCCTCCAAAAAACTGCACAAAATTATTTATGCTATTCTTGCTGAGAGGGATTCTCAAAATGTAGAGATTTGTTATTGTTTTAACCAAGAAAGAAATATTGGCAAATATTATTTCCACCCCTACTAGATATTACTTCGACAAATAGGGTATATGTTCAAAATGAGATAGTCTGAACATGAACTGGTTATTGTGTGTGTGAAAGTATTCTTCTCTCAATATTATACTCTTATACATTTTAAAAGTGGGAAATCCCTGCAAAATGGAATGGTATGCATTGTAGTACCACCTAAGGTGTTCAGTAATTGCACCAAAACCATGCTGCCTGTTGTGCCTAATACATAATTAATGCACATATGGATTCTTTAAAGGCTTCTATTTTT